TTTCAGCTTGTTTATTTTTTCATATAAAAATATGGCATGCAGTTGCATCAAACATTGGTATAAACATCATTCAATGTAAATTGTGATAATCATAATTAACAATCGCAATTACGATTTCAAGGGAAAAATCGATAATTATGATTTTTGTCATAATCGTGCAGCAATAGTGTATATTTAAGAACACTTTCATGAATGCTCTGGGGTTTGAAGTATAATAATAGTGGAAGGAGGTTTCAACCTCATGGCAACCTTCTGTTCACTGAAATTCCACTGTTTTATACTGCACAAGGGACGTCCAGGAGCAAAATAACAGAAACTGAACTTAGCAAACCAACTTAACAGGCTGGGAAGGACAGGACCTGACCAATAACATATAAAGTCAAAGTCAAAGTCACTTTTATTGTCACATCACCACAGCACACGTGCCTTGGTGAGTGAAATGCTTGGGAGCGTGCTCCAAACAGTGCAGAAACAATTTACATATAAACATACAGACCTCAACAGATGACAATGTGCAATATGCACATACATATAGTCAGTACACACAGTGTACTATTAGACATACTTACAGTTAGCACTACACATTATACACAGTATGTACATGCAGTTAGCAATACACATTTATACACAGCATGTACACATTCTACATTATGTAGACATATATACACAAAATATGCGAAGGTGCAACAGATTATACATTAACTGGATACGCAAAATGTCATGGATGTGCATTGGATGGTATCCAGTGGTAGCAGATAGATTATTGTGTTTAAATGCAGTGTGTATGTATAGTCCAGTATTGAACTGTTGGAGTTAAAGTGCAGTGTGTGGCCTACCGTATTGTGGGAGTAGGCTGTAGGGTGTATTAGTTCTCCAGTCATTCAAGCATGTGATTTTATTTTTCTTTGGTATGAGCACAATGGTGGATTTTTTGAAATATAGGGTTATATGTTCAGACAGGGCTAATAGACTAACAAGAAAACAAGGAACACCTGGAAGACAATCAAGGAACTAATTGAAGATGAGGAAAAACTACAGGAAAAAAAGACTACAAATAGAACAGGAAACCGGAACATAGCAAAAATACAAAACAAGAGTCCAAAACAGAGACGGGATATGTCACAGTTTTCAGGTTCAGATTTATTTTAGATTCATACACCTTTTGATCAGGCTATCAATTTACACTCAAAAAGAGGAGTATTTTAAAACTTTAAAAACTTTATTCACGTTTCGGTTATGATAACATCAAAATTGCTATATATGTATGAATTTCAGCTAATAAACTGGATTATCAGCATGGTAAAGTTGTGTTTATGTTACAATTAGCATGTAATTCCAGTGCATGGTAGATGTTAGGGAGCAGATAACTGTTCCCTGTGAAACAAGTTGGGAGAAAACCAATGTTACACTGGACGCTAGTGGCGCGGCGCGACAAAATACTATAGAACTCATTATAATCAGTGATGCTGTCTACACCATAGATATATATACATATCTATGGTCTACACTGGATGTGGCGCGGCACGACATGACAAATCCCCGACAGAAAACTGCTGCTGCGTTCTATTCATGACATATTGACACAAATTTCAAATGATTTTCAACGGTCACTTTGTCGTGTCCAGTGTACTACAGACTTTAGCTGTTGAGGCGCAGACACGGTGTTACTCACCTATCGAGAAGAAACAAAGCAACCTCTGAGTCCGATCGCAGGCCTTCCGCTCCTTGAGTTCTCTCCAGCGCTGGAAAGCTGATCCGATATTTACACAGGTCTTACTTCTTGCCTTAAGCCTTCTTTTGTTTCGCAGACGTTTTCCTCTTTTGTTTTTTATCTGCCATCTCTATCTTTATGTCGCTCGGCGTCCCGCACTGAACACGCTCTCCTCCACATCATGAGTAGACATGCCCCTTACTGCTGATTGGCTACAAGTTTGTTTTGATATTTGCCCCGAATCAGTTTTCTAAAGCGTTTTTGAAAAATCGCTTACCCCACCTTTAAGCACCATAACAATATCACACTATGACAAAAAAATATATGGTTAATTTAGATTATTATTACAGTTATAGGAAGAGGTTACTGATGCTGAAGAGGAAGTGCTGCCATAACAGAATTATTCCAGTTGACGGCACAGGTCTAATCATATCTCTGTAGGGAATTTGAATTACTTTAAAGGGGTCATATGATGCTTTTTTAAAGATCATTATTTTGTGTATTTGGTGTAACAGAATAAAGAATATCTCTTTGGTTTTGAGACTTTAGTCTTTGCAACTTCAGGGATCTTATCTATGCACAATCAGCTTGTAACACTCCAAAGAGAAAGGAAAACTTGAACTCGCATCATATGACCCCTTTAATGTAATCTTGCTTAATTCAAGCACTAGTCACAAACTAGTTTGTAGAAATAACAGCTCATTTGTTAAACCTACATTTGATACATACAATTTCTGTTGTC